TCCTAGATGTTGGGTATTACGATCGGGTGGTCCGTGACGACCCCTTGATATGAATACGGGTAGGTGAGGAAGGTAGTATGGGTCCATACTATTGGAAGCACATGACTCGTACGCATAGCAAGAAAGTCGTGAACCCAAAGGGTCTAGTCTTTCTGTAATGATTATAATAGTATGAATTGTGGCTTTTTTTGATGAATTTTGGTTCATTTTCAGTATGGTGTACACGAGGGTTTCTAGATCAGGATCAGGCGGCCCGACGAGGCTAGGATTGACTGATGATGAGATTCGGTAGTTGATCTCCACTGAGGTGACTGCGACTATTCGGGGTGTTATCCCAAAAATTTTTGGGTCAATTAAGACTGCGATGATTGAGCTGTTCGATGAGCGGTACGCCGCTGTGTCTGAGGTTTGAGGTTGTAGTTCTGAGAGTTCCTTGTCTGAGTGGTCCCCTCTAGATGTGGGGTCATGCAGTTTGGGAGATAAGGAAATTTTTTTTTGGTCGATCATTTTCAAGTTATTGGGTCGAGATGGTTAGAGAGAGCTTACAGAAAATGTTGGTGTTGCCTCAGAGACTTTAACCAAGGTCGATTTCGATGACAAAATCCAATTTAAGCGGGGGGAGAGTTGTAACATCCTATTTCGATAAGTTCTTATTTCAGGATTATGGACAATTAATGGATTAAATGGAGGCCTTGGACTCTGATGGAATGGAGATTAGACTCTATTAGAGGTGTATGATGTTGGATAAGTGATTTAAACCTTGGATTGTTCGATGGAAGCTGATGGGTAAAATGGGAAGGGTTATGTTTCGGTCTTCTTGCATAAATTAAGAATTTTAGTTTGAAATGTTTTCAGTCACAAGTATCAAGATAGAATTGTAGAGCTCGTCGACACCTTTCCGTGGTATAAAGATCATAAAAAGCGGAGTAGGAACGAAGAAGTTATGGTTGTTTAAAGTTAAGTTGGAAGAAAAGAGTTTGGCAGTACGTTGGGCGTACACTAGGAGTACGTTGGGTGTACTGGCCGAGGAAGTCTCATTTTTAGGGCGTTACGTTGGGCATAACTTTAGGTATGCTTGGCATACCGTCGTAGAGTAAAAATCCTATTTTCGTGGTTTTGAGTCGTATTTAAGGACTCTAACCCCTTGGGGTCCTTCCTAACATCAGCCTCCACCCTCTTGAGCCTCCAACTCGAAACACTAGCCCCTAGAACGAATATTGAGAATTTTTATGTGCTTTGGGTGCATTTTGGATGAAATAGAAGTTCATGCTTGTTGATTGTTGAAGCTCAAGCTTGTGGATCCAAAGCCTACGTTGCTTTTCTCAACTCCAGAAGGTATAAAGCTTGAATCTTGATGATGCATTTGTTAGATCTAGCTAGTTTTGGGTTTTATGAGCTTTTTGTTCTCATAATCTTGATATCCATGAGTATGGTTCATTCTAATCCAAATGAGTTGTCCTTTCAGACGTTTTTGGGTGTTTTTTAGTCATAAAAATACGATCTTGGTCCATTTATTCCCTCCATGCAAGAGTTATGATGTTTTAGTGGAATATTAAAGTTAGGGTTTTAGCTTTTGGACCATTTCTAGCCATGGAAAGTCATAAAGGTGGAAACTTTATGACTTAGAACGATGTTTTGGATCTAGATCTGAGTTTGGATGTAAGGTCTTTAAGAAACAAGCACTTTTGAAGAGAAAAGGATCCAGATGACGTATGTTGGTCCTACCAAGAGGTATGCTACACGTACTGGGCTGAGACCCTGTGGATTGGAAGCATCGCGACTACGCTAAACGTAGTGACTGAGTATGCGGGGGCATACTTAGTCTGCTTTGACCTTTTTTGACTTTTTGACTTTGACCTTTGACCATGGGTTTGACCAAGTTCGACTTAGGGGAATTTTGGGTATTTTGAGTGGTAGATTGAGTTTAGGTCACCGTTTATTATATAGGTGACCTGTAGAGGCAACAGTTGGAGCAGTGACTTCTTCAACTATATTTTCAGACTATGATGTGAGTTTTCCTCACTGTACTTATGGGTCGAAGGAACCAATGTCGGCCCAATAGATTATGTATCCTAGTTTAGGATGTTGCTATGTTGTAATGATCTGATGAGATCTGCATGTTTATCTGTTTGATGTTATATATTTTTCGGTTGCATATGTCGACATAGTATGGTTTGGGTTGAGGCTGCACTGCTTTATGCTATCGGCCAATAAACCGGTGGCAATCCAATTGGGAGATTGTGGCCCAAAGTGGCAATCTAATTAGGAGATTGTGGGCCAGTGGCAATCTAATCAGGAGATTGTGGGCCAGAGTAGCAATCCAACTGGGAGATTGTGGGCCAAGGTAATCCAGTCGGGAGACTGTGGACCCAACATGCATTTTGTATATGTTTAAGGTACTTCATATGATTGGAGCAGTGACTTGTTCAGGTACTTTTCAAACTGTGAGGTGGGTTTTCCTCACTGTACTAGTGGGTCGAAGACACAAATACCGACCCACTAGGCTATGTATCCTAGTATAGGATGTTTCTATTTTGTAGTGATCTGTTAGATCTGCATGATTATCTGTTTTCTGCTATGTGTTTTATCTATTGCATATGTCGACATAGTGCAGTTGGGTTGAGGCAATACTGCTCTATGTGGAAGCCAACAAACCTGAGAGCAAGCCAGACATATGTTGTGGGCTCGAGAGAAATCCAAACATGAGTTATGGGTCATGTGGGCAAACCAGACTCGTGTTGTGGGCTTAAGGGTAATCCAGTCCGATGGTTGTGGACCCAGTATGCATGTTGTTATATGTTGTGTGGTGGTATTTTGGGGGAACTCACTAACTTTTGGCTTACAGTTTAATTTTTATGGTTTCAGGTACTTCAGAGGACAAGGGAAAGGCGAAGTCTTGATCGTGCACATCATCCAGAATTTATGTGTTTTGATGATTTTGGGATACTCTGATTCATGATAATGATTTTTCGGAACTTGTTTTGTAAAACTTATGGATTTTGGGATGGTTTTAAAATAAAAAATTTGTCTTGATTTTTAGGATGTTACAAGAGGACTGGTGTAACATGCATGATGGATCCATTTACCCTGCGTGGTCTGAGTACAATACGATATACTTATGTTTCACGGTCATTACCTGAGTAATAATCACTTATAAAAAATGTTAACTGATGATTACTTGATTCCAGCCTTTTGTGCAGCTTTACATCTCTGTCAATATACTGCATGCCTACTGGTTTTTGGGAGTTTTGGATTTCAAGTCATTCACAATGACTATATACGATAGTCACTAGGTTGACGACGTTGAATATTGGCTTATATCTATATGTGCCTGTATCCACAAGCTTCTAGTGTGTATCAACTATTGGAGTACCAAACCCACTGATGTAACCCTCTTTGGACTTTCAAAATCACCCTTGTAAAGGGTGTATACATGCCATAACTCGGGGTGAACACTTGGACCTCCAGACCTGGACTTGGACGTGGTAAGTCTCAGCAAGTCCGATCCAAGGTTCACTAATTTCTACAAAACCAATTTGGTCCAAGAGTCTGTTCTGTCTGGTCTTGTTCAGTCCAAATGCTCAACCCTATATCCAAAAACCGGGAACTGAGCGTAGACCTAGACCTGGTAAGCCTTAACAAGTTCAATCCAAGGTCCACCAATTTTTGAAAAACCAATCCGGTCCGGTCCAAATGCTCACCCCTAACTATAATAGTCTGGCAGTAAAAAGGAATGTGGACTGTTCTTATGTAGACTCCTAGAGATAGAGATGTTGCTCGTTGGGAAATCTTTAAGGATAAAGGGTTTAGCATGGGTCATCTCATTTTCGCAATCGAATCGTGGAAATTGTATGGGGTAAAAAGAAAAAATAAGGATCCATTTAAACATTGTAGTACTATTTAAAACATATTTAAGTTTATGTAATTATTAACACTTGCTTGTTATCTTTCGCAATACAAATGGTTATTTTTCAAAAATCATATAAAAACACAAAAATGAACACACAAGTTATAATTTCTCCACAAGAAGTACCAAGCTTTAATTACTCATTAAAAGGAATACACAAAAACATACTCTTCAGAATGCACAAGAAAAAACACACAAAAAAAATCTCTCCGGAATGCTTCTCAGGTACCTTATGTATTTTTTCGGATTAAGTGGTCATTTTACAATAAAATATAAAATTAGTTATTTGACATTTATATGGGTGAGATTACTTGATTTCCCTTTAATTTATTTTTATTATTTATTTATTTATTTTGGCATTGTCTCAAGGAATGATAAAATCATTTACACATGAAATTTAACCAATTACACACATGTGTTTAAAAAGAGCTTTTATGAGTTTCTTTTAACAAACATTAAAAAAGATATGTTTGAAAATATGAATTTAAAGTTTTTATTTTAGGCTGTTGGGTATTGCCAAGTAACATCATTGGGGAAGTGACGTGAGGCAACATCCCCTTCTCTCTTTTGTCCTTTGTTTTTCTTCTTTCTTGGGCTCACGTCGTGGTTTTTGACCAACACAATCCCCTCTAGGAGTGTAGAGAAGATAAGCAATGATGGTGATGTGGCAGAGTGGTGGGTGGGTACCTTACGGAGGAGACTTAGAGAAAAAAAAAAGGGGGGGGGGGGGGGGGGGGGGGGGGGGGGGGGGGGGGGGGGGGTCATAATATAAAATTTACTTCAACTAGCTTTTATATGCCTTTAAGAGCTATGTTTTACATAATTTTATACATTTCAAAAGTTTTTTTGAGAGCCTTTAATACCTATGCTTTACGAAATTTTACACATTTCAAAAGTTTACAACTAGTTTTGTCAATCACTAATAAAAATAACTGCTAGCCAAAGACTATTTTTACCAAACATACTTGAAAAGTTGTACACTACCATTGCACACCACCATTAACCGATCCAACCAACATGTTAAATATAAATCACAATGTTTCAAAAATAATATCCACTCTCCAACATGAAACCTTGCTTATAAATTCTCACACTCTTACCATTAAGACAAAACATTCAATTCCATAAACATCACACCAAACAAAACCTAAATCATAATTCAATCCACTTAATAAATTATGAACCCAATGCCACAACACAACCAATTAATTATCAAGTCTATAAATTTGCCAATGTCACATGTTCTGCAATTATCTCCTACATCAGTCAAACAAACATCGATATAATCCCCTCGCATACAAATGCTACAAAAATGATCCGAAATAAAATAAAATAAAATATGATTAGTGTGGTTTTGGTTTATATCCATCAACAGCAAAATTTCTAGTAGCAGCAGGAAGAGCAAGCCGAAGCCCCTCAAGTTCAGGTTTTGCAATTACTTGACAACCAAGTCGAGACCTACAACAAACATTAACAACTTAATGACTCATCATTGTATAAAATTTAACAAAAGTTTATAAACTTATAAAATAATAATTCAGAAAAAAAATTACGTTTCTGTCAGTCCAAAAGCAAGGTCTAGCATATCATTCTCCTCGTCTGTAGGATCTTCTAGCTTATTGTACTGTTCCACATCCTGACAAATGACAACACATGTAAATTACTAGGTCTATTTTCAATGATGAGGGTATTCACGTCTTTTTGCACAGATGTCATAACATCCTGATAGCATACCATGACAATGACATGACAGGTGGAACAAGCGAGAGATCCTTCACATGCTCCTGTTAATTAAATTTTCAAATTAGTTTAAGCCACAAATAATTGTGAATGAAAAGAAAGATGGTTGATATATTGAGTTTAGTTAACCTTCAAGCTCTATGTCATTCTCATGGGCAGCTTCTAACATTGACATTCCAATGGGGACTTTGATTTCTTGTTCTTCTCCATCTTTGTCAAAGAATGTCACAGAGATTCTGCAGAGATCAAGGAAGGTTATAAATATATAAATGAATACGAAAAAGATGAAGAAATTTAGGGTTAGATTTTTTGATGAAAAAAACAGATACTCACTTTTGGTTGTTGTCTTCGTTTTCACCTTGTGAATTGCTAGTGGGTGTGGTGGAGAATAATTTATGACTCTGAAAGAAGTGATGCATAATTTCATTATATCAGGAATACATCAAAATAGAATAGATTATAAGAGTGAAATTAGGCATTCTTGCATTAGGAATAAATGCAACTAACCGAGGGAAACAAGTAGTCATTCTGAACTTTAGGGAAAAATGACCTTCTTGATGGAATTCTTAGTGGGGCTGCAATTTGAGGGGGGAAAGGAATCAGAATTCAGAATATTTAACAAACATCTATGAACTATGTTATGACAACTCAGCATCCAGAAAGATCAAAGATCAAACCTTTTGATAATCCCTTGAACGCCTGAGCTCCAAGTCTGGAAATTTTAGAAATGAACATAATACTAGAAGAGTCACACGATCTGAAGAAGAAATGGAAAACATTACGAATTAAGAGCTGGATAGAGCATCCTGATTAGAAGCTACTAAGAGATTAGATTCTTTTTTAAGTTTATTGACAGAGGCAAATACACAAACACTTGGTGGGCAGAAAAAAAAACATGATTAGGATTTCTCGCATAAATAACAAAAAGCCATATGCTGAACTGAAATGTAATTCCGCATCGCTTAACTAAGCGAAAAACGAGAAAGAAGCATGAAAACCAATATGAAGTTTATACATGGACTGATTAGGTTTTCTTTATATTTTCCCAATTACAAGAATCAAAACCAGGGCATTGGGAATTTGAAAAGGGGTAACAGATGATGATAAAAAGAATCAGATAGAGAGATTACCTTTGTGATTGTCCGGAGATGCTAACAAAGATGTAAAGGCTTCAGAGCTCCAGAGTTGAGAGAGATGGTTTGTTTTGACTTTAGTTTTTCGTGGCTCTTGATGAAAGCACGACGGCCCAAACCGACTTTACGACTATAACAGTATAAAACTTGCCTTTCACCTTCATTCCGCAAAAAAAAAAAAAAAAATAGTAAAATAGTAAATAAAAAAAAATAGTAAAAATTATAAAATGGAGATGCGGGGTATCGAACCCCGTACCTCTCGCATGCAAAGCGAGCGCTCTACCATGTGAGCTACATCCCCATTTATTGTTGACTTTAGATCATGAGTTTTATCATTGACTAGGGCCCATTAAGCCCAAAAATAAAACTTATAAGTTTGGATGGTAAGTTCATGAGCATTTTTTTTTTTTTTTTTTTTTTTACAACAATAAGAACATCCACACCGTAAGGTTTTAAAAGTTTTTCGAAAAGATTTTTAAATCACATGGATCTCATATATCTTCAACAAATTATTAATATACCATATTAATTCATAACATTCTTACGAACAATAAACAACCTATCATCTTCTCCAATATGCTTCCAATCAACGGTTTGTACATAATTCTTCAGCATCTTTTTCTTCCAATCAATCTCTTCCACCTCTATAACACATGACACTCTTCAACAAACGCACCAATTGAAAATATGTCATTAATCTACTCTCTCTCTCTCTCTCTCAAAACGAACCTATCGGCTATCGTAGCGATTGAAAACTTTGGAAAACACTGTAGCGATTGCAAACTCTGGAAAACACCAGCACGATTGCTTTCTACCACCACCCATGATCTTTGTGGCAAACAATAATTGTTATGTTATTGTTGGTCGATGTACTTCTAGAAGTATTCCACCGTATGTAACCTTTAACACCATCTATTTCTATTTGAGCTACCGACTGATCAGTATCAACATTAGCCACTGTCGCTTTCGATTAAGGTATGATTGCTTATGATTCTGTGTTCAAATCGATTTCATCAACTTACCCTCTCCTTTGATGGGTTGGATTTTGTTTGCTTCTTTTGATGGGTTCTCATTTTATTGAGCCGATGATGAGTTTTCTTTCTGGAAAAACTTGGTGAGGCCGACGACAACGATCACAAAGGTGGTTGAAGGTTCATTTTTTGTATTTTATAATCTGAGCCCTATTTTTTTCTTTTCTTTTTTGAATCAAGTGAAATTGAGGAACTTTTGACATAATCAATCTATGATGGAACGACTTTAATCCAAGGTGAAGCTATTAACGTCATTGAAGAACATCAACATAATTACTCTGTTTCGAGAATAGAGAGACACTAAGTGGAACAACTTACACTTCATCACCGAAGTTTGTACCTCCGACAACCTTATTGGAAGAAACATAAACAGGTTTCGATGTAGGTCTTGAAGAAGTGGTCATGGAAAATATTGACAAGGTTGGATTATCTACACAGAGATCTCAATTGCAGCGACACCTTCATTAATACCAATATCGGCCATGTACAAATATTGATCTTTTAAACATTTAGAATAAATCAATGAGTAAATTACACGAATCGTCCCTCGTGCAGGTGACAAAAAGCATGTTCAGTCCATATTTTCAAAAATTAACTCGGACCGACCCTCTTTAGTTTAAAACTTTCACGTTTCATCCACGGACATAAAAAGACTATTTTGCCCTTATTTATTTCTTTTTTTAATTTATTTTCTATTCATTTGTTATTTATTAATTATTTATTGATTTGTTTATTATCAAAAAAATTATAATTTCCTTTTAAAACAGAACGAGTAAATCAACTCGTTCCCCCCCCCCCCCCCCCCCCCCCCCCCCCCCCCCCCCCCCTTCTTCTTCTTCAGTACGTCTCCTATCTATCATCACCACCCACACCAACTGACTCCAGACTTCGGCGACATCTCCGGCTACTGCAAGACACCTCCGACGCTATCAACCCCTCACCCACCACACCACACCACGCCACTTTCATCTTATGTTTCCTTTATTCCAATCTCATACTTGAGTCCTCAACATTCTCTAGGTACCGCCTCAGATCTAGGGTTTCGAATATAGGAGATCAACCCTATGAAGCGCACCATCGCCTACTTGTTCCTGCACCACCCTCACCTCTCGATCAAAATCCAATGTGTGGGCTTCTCTCTCTCTCTCTCTCTCAATATCGCACAGCACCATATACCAGAATCTGCCCACAAATCAAAACCCCTCACATATATTAGAATGTGACCATTGATCAAAATCAATGATGAGATCGATGTTGAACTCTCCCCAAACATAAAGAATCGGACCTTTGGTGACCACCCCTTTCATCTTGCACATTTCATCTTGTGTTACTGATCGGAGAGAAAAAAGATAATCAAGACATAAAACACACACACCTAGTATGTGTGTGTGTTCTGGTGTGATACCAAGAGAGAAAGGCCATGACAGTCGGAGAGACCATCGCCGCCGGAGCTGTAGTAGAGGGTTACAGATTTGCACTCCGGCGAGAAATCCCTAATCCTCTTATGTGAGTTGGTCGTTTTCATACTTTTGTAGTTGCAGTTGATTTGGATCGTAATCGAAGAGGGCATATAACTATATTTATGTTAGGTTATAGAGAGGTGGGGTGGATGGGAATCTATTTATTTTATATTATATAAATACAAAATAAAGCATAAGTAAATTGAAAAAGAAAATAGGATGGGTAATATATACTTTATGGTAAGGGATGAAACTTGTAATTTTAAACTACTGGAGAATTAAACATGCAAATTTAATACAAACGAAGGACAATCTGAATTAATTTTCGAAAATATGGACTAAACACGTATTTTTGCACTCGAACCAGGGACAAATCATGTAATTTACTCTAAATCAATTAAGAAGCATATATAATTATTGAACGAATGAATGAACATATTAGGTAAAAGTAGGCGATTTGGGTTTGGCTGCAATAGTTGGTAAGAGCCATTATGCACATTCAATATTGGGGAAACGTTCTTCTCCCTATTTTTTTATCGGAACCCCTTCTATACTTCGTGAAATACATTCATTTGCAGAACAATAAATTTCTACCTGATTTATTTAATTGCGATTAATTACATGAAAGTTGAGTTTATTTTGAAATTGGTTTATGTGATTGGACAGCAGGTAGTAGAACTCTAAAGGAAAAAAGACTAGGAAAACGCTCAAGGATGGTCTATATTGGCTGGTACGGACTACATTAAGGTTTTTCTATTTTCTTCAAATTTATTCACTTCACTGACCTATTTGAACTCTTCAAATTGATAAAGCCTAATTTTCTAATGAAAGAGACCACTTCCCTTTACGTTTGTACACTTTTTTTTACTATATATTGATAATAACCCATCATATTTATATGATTTCTCTATGTTGTAGTCTAATCCAATTTTAGAAGCTTTTGGTAATGCGTGAGTGACAGTGAGTCATAATAAATAAAAATTGAAGCTGCAAAGAACCTTTTTTTTTAAAAAAAATCCTACCATCTTTTGTGCATTAGTTGTTGGTATCTGATTATTGCGATTGCTTCAGTCATTTTGCCAAGTTTGTGGAGCTTCAGTTTGATGATAAGGGAAGAATCGTTGGTACTGCTACCAGAACATATTTCTTGGAAAGATCTCGTGTTTGTCAACTCTTTGAAAGATGGTAAACGGTGGAAGGTTAATATTCTGTTAAGCTCTTATTTCTGAATCTATGTTTCTATGCAATCAACTATAATTTTTTTTACTACTCCTATGCTTGTAATAATATTTAAGGTTCATACATTGTTAAAAGGTTTGGAAAAGATGGCTTCACGTGTAGATATTGTATTGTTGATCCAAAATATGCTGATGTTAGTAGAGATGCACTACCAAAGGTTGATAACTCAAGATTGTTTGACTGTTTGACTAGTAAGTTTCACTTTGTTTCATGCTGACTAAACTAGTTTTTCAATACTTTTGTAAAGTCAGGCAAGAAATGGAAAAACATGAAGTCATTATATTTTCAATACAATATCTCATTTTGTTTTACCTGACATTTTGCTTACTTTTTGACTGTTGACTGGCAAGTTTCACTTTGTTTCATGCTGACTAAAGTAGATCCAAGGCCATTTTAGTCCATACTTATGTTTTTATATCATCAATGGTCTTTGTTCAAGTTTTTATAACATTTTGTACTAGATCATTTAGAATTTTTTGTATTCTAAACTCTTTCTTTTTCTCTCCACTAGGAATATGAATGGTATTGTCCCAAAACGTTTTGAATATGAATTGATATCAATATCAAAAGTATTTCCAAAAAAACGTTTTTCATTAATATTTAAAAGCTTGGGATGTCATAACCTATACATAAACATAAGCATAAACTAGTCTTTACAGCCTTACAACAATTTATTTAATGGCCTAAAACTCCTTAAATCTCTCGGCAGATACAAAAATAGTGTATCCCTGTGCTTTCGTACTACTTCCCGTGATACAAAGAAAACTGAGTGGGTCAGACTTGGGAACCTGGTGAGCATATAAAGTTTTCAACCCATAATATTATAATTAATTTAACTATATGTTTTGCATCAAACAATTAACCCAATTACCTATTCCCACTATTCTTACTTATTCATCTCTAAGGACTTATCCTAAGGATCATCACAAGCAATGCATGGACAATACTACTTTGGGGATTTCTCATCAATACATGTCAGTAAAGAAACGATGGGGGGATAGAGTACATCGCATGAACATGTAGTTCATCCCCTACAGGTTGTGAGTAGGTTGTGAGCCTGCCAGTGTTCCACTGGACTGTCTAGAAGAGTCTGTAGTTGTCATATATACTCTGTTAGATGACTACATCGCTACATCGCTAGTGTAATAGTACTATAAAAGTCATGACCTCTCCTCATCATTTTTCATCACCCTTGCTACCTAATATATTATAAGTATGAAAATACATATATGATAAAAATCAAGTACAATATTATTCCGCCTAACACAGATACAGGTAATGAGCACATATGACATTTAGTCATCTAAATACTTCATATTTATGTGTAAGATGAAAGTAACTATGCATTCACTTGTTAAAAGTGGACGACTTGCGATTTGGGTGGAGCTTCTCCTAATACATTAGCTTTTCTTTTGATGTGACCTAGGTATAGTTATTACTAAGACTTATTCTTTGTTTCATATCTTTCGTGACTATAATAACAATTGTCTAGATTCCTCAATAATCCTAATGAATATTGATTTATAGCTGATAAGGAATAACCAGGTAAGATAATATCAGAGGTAGAGTTTTTTTGGTACACACATAGAGTATAATTTTTGGATAACTCACTTTAAACACCTCACTAAATCTATCATAGACACTACACCCATAAGTAGATCAATCAGTATTATGATATGAAATCACTGATAAATCTTATCTACATGTTCATAATAAAGATTATGAATAAAAATATAAATTACACTTAAATAAAAATAGGTGTAGCTTAACTTAAAGAGTTTCTTGACCAAAGTCTAGAAAATTCGCAGGCAGAACTTCGACCTGCACACTTCTATTTATTGGAATCTCTGAAGACTCAGAGCCTAGCTAAATGCTTCTAAAATCTAGGGAAATTTGAGCTAAAACCTTAGAGAATTCCAGAGAGAAGTTGGGAGCTGTTGTGAGGGAATGAGGTGATGAGATTGCTATTTATAGCCAAAATTTGGGCAAGGCGCACCACGCCCTAAGACGATGTTGTTCCTGCGGGTCGCTGCCACGTGTCAAAAATTCCCCTGGTCCTTGTTTCCCCTTCTACAAGCGTGCACGTACGGATTTTTTTTCTAAAAATCGTATCTTTCTCATATGAGTTCCATTTTCAATGCTCTTTATGTCCACACGTAACTATCGACGAGTACTACAACTTTCCTTTAGACTCTGTCGGCTAATTCTCACTTTATTTTTAAATCAACCGATTTTAATTTCAATTTTTGTGTCCACAATGTTGTGCTGAAACTTTGAAAAATCATAACTTCCTTATATGAAGTCAAATCTGGATGTTCTCTATATGCATACTTTTACGACATACTTTGTCGTATAGGGCTGAACGCAAAACCTCGAACAATCGTAACTTCTTCATAGGAAGTCAGATTCAAGTGTTCCTTATATCCCCAAAATCATCATCGTGACTACTACAACTTTCATCAAGATTACTTATCCTAAATGATCTTTTATTTTTGAACGTTATTTGACATTATTTGTTAATTATTTTTTCTAATAATAATGTTTTATTCAAATATTATAAGCTCAGAATATTTACCCATAAAACATGTACTTTTAAAACGTTGTTGCAGGCGTCTTAAACAAATAAAATTTATCACTACTCGAATGCACTAAAGAATAACATAGGGAAGCAGGGCCAAATCCTCAAGGACACAACCTAATGATCA